GACCTATGGGGAGTCCTGGAGGTCTTGATGGACTGGGGAGCCGCGTGTGCCGGCTTGAGGATCTTTACCCGGGCTGCGGGCTTTAGGAGGCCATGGAGTACTGGAGGGACTGAGAGCAGCTCAAGGGGCATCTAAGGGCAGGCTGGGGGCCCCAGGACCTCCAGGCGTCTGCATGCAGCCGTAAGGGCCTGAAAGCGCATTGAGATCTGAAGGGAAACCCAGGGGCTCCTGACTGTAATGTGACCATGGGTGAACTGGGAATGCCAAGGGGTCTGGGAGACAGGGAGGTACTGAGCAGGGCCCATAGACTGTCTTGAGATTGTTGAAGCTGTCTTGGGGACTCTGAGAAGGGGACTGAGGAGAACGTGGAGGGGTTGAGGCCCAGGGCTCACTGGAGGGTGCTGAAGGGCCCTGAGGTTTTTAAAGGTGGTCCTGAGGACTTGCTGAGGGGACCTGGGAGGGATGAGGACTGTGGAAGGTTGGGAATAGGAGGCTCAAGTAAACCTGAGGGACTGAAAGAGGCCTAAGGGATCTGGGAGAACCTAAGAGGAAGCTGCTGGGCCCTGGAGGTCCCAGTGAGTCCTGATGGGCAGGGAGGAATCTGGGGGTCCCAGGGGTCCTGAGGGGCTGGAGTGGGTCTTAGGGAGCCTGAAGATAGTGAAAGAGCCCCAAAGGTCTTTAAAAAAAGACCCCAGGCTAAAGAACTTGAAGTAAGGTCTTGCCCTCAGACCAAAGCAGAATTCACCCCCTTTGATCAGAGAGAGGCCCCCTTCCCCTTTGGCCAAGTCCGGAGACTGGTTTCTTGAACCCCAGAATTGACATAGCAATTGAAGGTGTTTATATGCAAAGTTCTGGGTCCTCAGGGGGGAAGAACACCTGCCTTAGGGTGCAAGACCTCCCTCCCTCTTCCCATTACATAAGGCCAGAGTAGTTCAGACCCTCCCATCCCGCAGCCCTCCAGGACATCCTGCCGCCCTTGGCTGGCCAAAGAAGAAATTTGGGCTTTTTCTCACTGGTGAGTTTAGGGAAGCAAATAATTTCAGCCAATGTGATAAATGATGAAGCAGTCAATACTCGTGTGCTGGGGAGTCAGTTCTCGTTGTGGGGACCTGGGCTGGTACAGGCTGGAAAAGCTTGATGGCCTGCATGCACGAATTGGGCTTTGGAGGACTGTAGTGGGGAGCAAGGAGAGATCAGAGGATCAGGGGGTAGAGTGGGTGGGACTTGGTGACAGGCATGTGGTGGCATGTAAGGGACAGATTAAGAGGGGACAGCAAACTTTTAGGTCCCTGCCTTGGGTAAGGATAACCTAGGGGCAAAGGCAAGATATAATTACATAGCATACAATTCACTCATTTTAGCTGAACAGTTCATTGAATTTTTACACGTTGATAGAGTTTTGTACCCATGAATACAATCCAGGTTTTGAGAATGCTTCCATCCCCACAATGGAGTCCTTCAAGCCCATTTCAGTCCGTTTCTCTCCTACCCCTGGCCCCAGGCACACTGTGATCTGCTTTTGCTCTCTATAGTTTTGTCTTTCTAGAAATTTTATAAGAATGAAATCATATAATATGTGGTTTCTTGTATCTGGCTTCTTTCCTTTAACAGAGTCTTTTTGGAGTTCATGAGTGTTATCACAAGTATCAGAAGTTCATTCTTTTTCACTGCTACCTAGTATTCCATCGTATGGATGGGCGCAGTTTGTTTATCCATTTACTGGTTGATGGACATTTGGGTTGTTTCCATTTTGACCATTACAAATAAAGTTGCTGTGAACATCTAGGTATGTGTCTTTGTGTGGACATATACTTTCACCCTCTTGGGTAAATACCTAGGAGTGGAATGACTGGGTCCTATGGTAGGTATAGGTTTAGCTTTCTTTTTTTTTTAAGTAAGTGGATCTTTGATTTACTTGTACTTAAACATATAAACCAGCCTTGCAAACTGGCACTATTATTATCATGATGTGGCAAAATACAAAAACATCTTTCTACAAATACTAGAGTGATAAACAAATTAGGGGTTGTAGTAAAACAGCAAGAGGAGCAGGGGAAATCAATGAAGCACACTGTACCGTAACCCTTCACCTTAAGAATTGGGCTTCTTAACAAGTAGAGCCTCCCCATCCCAGAAAATATGAATAATTGTTCAGCATATCTTTGTCAAAGAGCTTCCTCTTTTTGAGGTTAGATGAAAAAATATGGACTGCTTTGAGAATTTGTGTGTCATCCTTGTGCTGGGGGCCATTCTAATCTTCTCTGTATCATTCCAGTTTTGGTATTACATACTACTGAAGCAAGCACTTAGGTTTAACTTTGTAAGAATCTGCCATGCTGTTTTCCAGAGTGGCTGCACCAGATTGCATTCCACCCAGCAATGTATGAGAGTTCCAGTTGCTCCCCATCCTTGCCAACACTTGATGTGGACAGTCTTTAGTTTTAGCCACTCTAAGCATATGCTGGTATCTTATTTTGCATCTCCCTAATAACTAATGATATTGGGCATTTTTCATGGTCTCACTGGCTATTCATCTTGGTAAAGTATCTTTTCAAATCTTTGGTCCATTTTTTATTTGGGTTGTCTTATTATTAACTTTTAAGTGTTCTTTATGTATTCTGGGTATGAGTCCTTTATTGGATATATGATTTGCAAATATTGTCTCCCAGCAGATGGCTTGTCTGTTTGTTTTTTTTATGATATCTTTCCCAGGGCAAATGTTTATCATTTTGAGGAGGTCCACTTTATCATTGTTTCTCATTATGGATCATGTGTTTAGTGTTATATCTAAGAAATCTTTTCTAAATGGAGGCACTTTTTTCTTTTAATTGAAGTTTAGTCAGTTACAATGTGTCAGTTTCTGGTATACAGCACAATGTCCATCATGCATATATATACATATATTCATTTTCATATTATTTTGTTAAAGGTTATTACAAGATATTGAATATAGTTCCCTGTGCTATACCAGAAGAAATTTTTTTTTATATATAGTAGTTAACATTTGCAAATCTCAAACTCCCAAATTTATCCCTTCCCACCTTCTTTCCCCTGGTAACCGTAAGATTGTTTACTATGTCTGCGATGGAGGCACTTTCTTAAAAGACATCTCCCCCACCTCTGAGATGTCCATTTACCCCCTGCCCTCCATCCTAGTGACAAATCTGTTGTCTAGAGCAACTGATGGGGGGGTGTCTTATCCCTGCAGTGCTAGTGCGGGGAGAAGGGCGAGAATCCCCCATATGGGGAGATGGAGCAAACATGGAAGAAGATCAAATTTTGAGGGAGATTATGGCACACAAGATTCTCCCAAGGATCCTTCTGAGATGTAGAGGCCTTTATAGCATTGTTCATTTATTCGTTCGTTCATTTGTTTGTTTGTTTTCATGGAGGTACTGGGGATTGAACACAGGACCTCCTGCATACTAAGCATGTACTCTTCCATTAGAGCTATACCCTACCCCCACCTCACTCCCTTATTTATTCCAAGCCAGCCACCTAGGGCCAGTGCACAACCTGCCTATGCCTCATTCTTCTTCGTACTTCCACTCCAAGATCATGGCCTCTTGAGCCACCTGCCCAACCACCCAAGCTCAAGTAGCCCCAGGAACACTTTTTCTGGTCACCTTGTTGTATTGGCTTTTTTGGGGGTAAAAGTTATATAACATAAAACTCACTCATTTAAAGTGTACAATTCAGTGGTATTTAACATGGTGAATGTTATGCAACCATCACCTGTCTATTTCAAAAAATTTCCATCACCCCAGGAGGAAATCCTGTCCCTGTGAGCAGTCACTCCCCATTTTCCTCTCCCCTAGTTCCTCTACAACTACTCATCTACTTTCTGCCTCTGTAAATTTACCTGTTTTATAAATAGAATCATACCACATGTGACCCTCAGTGTCTGGCTTCTTTTACTCCCTATTATGTTTTCAAGATTCATCTGCAATGTAGCATGTATCAGTCATTTCTTTTTATGGCTGCCTAATATTCCATTGGGTGGACGTACCATGTTTTGTTTATCCATTCACCAGTTGAAGGATATTTAAATTGGTTCCATCTTTTGGCTATTTTGGATACTGCTGCTATGAACAGACATGTACAGTTTTTGAACACCTATGTTCAGTTCTTTGGGATGTATACCAGGAGCGGAATTGCTGGGTCATAATGTCTGTGCGTGTCCTTGATCAAGCTATTACCACCCAACACTACTTGGTGTGTTTACTAGTGGGAATGCCTTGAGAGTAGAGATTGTGTCTTTCTTGTGCAGTCTTGGTCTGGTATGCCTGGAGCACAGACAGCCCAGAGGAAATAAATGTTCAAGAAATATGGCTACGGGGGTGGGAAGAAGGGAGGGGAGGGGACTGGATGAATGGAGTGTGGAAAAGCTCTCTGGGACTTTCAGTCTGGCCAGTAGGAAGTCCCTTCATGGTGATCAAGTCCATCCCTTGCCTTCCTGGGGAGACTTGTGGGGCTGCCAAGGACTGGGGGGAGGCTGGCCCTGTCTTTGAGGCTGGGTTTCCAGCCTTCCAGGTGGTGCCTGTGTCTGCCTTGTTGTCCCATGAAGGGTTTTGTCATTTGGCCAGGGGTGGGGGCGGTTCCTGTCTTCCCCTTGGCCCTTCCAGCGGTCCCACAACTCAAAAAACTGTCCTTAGGAGGGACTGCTTTCCCCCACCCCGACCACCCCCGGCATTATATAACTTGTTTGTTCCAACTTTGCTTTTCTGCAACCGAGGAGGAGAAAAGAAAGAGAAAAGCTTATTCTCCTTTCTTCTATCTCGAGGGATCAACAAAAAGCCCGTTGCCTAGTAGAGATGGTCATTAATGACCAAGAGGAACCTTTGGGATGGACAGAGCTTGGCTGCTTTGGCCAGGGGCTTGCTGAGGGGAAGTGGGGTCCTAGCTGCAGGCTCACTCACACAAAAGATGCTTGTTCTGCAACAGGCCCCCTCCCAGCTCCACCCCAGGCCCTTGCCGGGGTCCCGGCTCCTGGAGGGTTAGGAGGTTTGCGGCCATGTACAGTTTTGCGAGGAGGAGAAGGAACTCTCCTGAGAGTCTCACCTCCCCAGCTAAAATTCTGTCACTGTGAGGTACCCGGCCAGTCTAATTCTGGAGGAACTTTCTTGCCACAGAGGCTCTTCCTGCATTGGGCCTTTGGCATCCTCTCTTCTCTGCCCATCTTTCCTAAAGATGTCTGGATGGGGCCCAGACTTACTGATTCACGCTGTTCCTTGGGCAGCAAGGCAGGAGTATCTGGGTGAGGGCCATACTGGCCACAGGTGTTTCCATGGGCCACAGCGTGAGCGGGTTTGGCACAGTTCAACCGAGGTGTCTGCTTCTGGCTTGGTGGCCTTTGCTTGTTGAAACTTTCTTAACAAGCCCTCTCTGGCTGCACCCTGTATTGTCTCCCCTAATCCCTGAGGCTCTGGAAGAGTCCAGCCTCCAAGCCCTGTGCGAAAGATTTGGCCTACTGAGAAAGTTCTTGTTCCTTTGGCCTTATCCTCTTTTCAGCTGAAAGAGAGAGGCAGGAGTTTGACCCTTCAGAGACAGGAACTCAACTCCTCCCTGGGAATTCTGGGAGATCTGGTGGTACCAGGTGCCTCAGCAGACCCACGTGTGTATATGTGCGGTCCCTCGTGCTTGTTACACACGTTGGGCACACCTGCAACCCTCTGTGTGTTAGAGTCCTCACCTGGGAGGTGAGATCGCGGGCCCACTGGGCTGGGTAGCTGGGAAGGAGCCAGCTAGGGAGAGGGCGTGCTCAGAGGGTGCCCAGCACATCGCGTGATGTTAACATCATGTGTGTTAGTGTGGAGCTGGCAATGTTGCCCTGTGATTCTGACACTGCTGACGTTCTGTCCATTGCACCCACGTGGACCAAGAAGGGATCATGGGGTATTTGGCAGGTCTTGCTGACGAGTCAGTGTGGCAGGTTGGGAAGAGAAAGTTGGTGTCTAAGTCTGTTCTGGCTGCAGTAACAGAATACCATAGACTGGGTGGCTAAAAACAACAGAAATTTAGTTCTCGAAGTTCCAGAGGCTGGGAAGTCTGGAGAGGTCACTTCCTGGTTCATAGACACAGTCTTCTTGCTGTGTCCTCACATGGTGGAAGGGCCTAGGGAGCTCTCTGAGGTCTCTTTTATAAGGGCACTAAAACCATTCATGAGAGCCCCGTTGTCATAACCTTATCACCTCCCAAAGGCTCTACCTTCTACACTATCACATTAGGAAATAGATCTCAACATGTGAATTTTGAGGAGGGCACAGTCTGTGGCAGTTGGCCTGAGCAGTTGGAAGGACATTGGTATCATTACTTGGTGACCATGAGAGGGACAGTGGCAGGGCCAGTGAGACACTGAAACTTGTCAAATCTGAGTTGCTTTTGCAGCATCAAAGGGCAGATGCTGCCATGTGAGCCTGGCACCTGGGAGCACAAATTTATGGGTCTTGGCAGGGTATTGGGGTGGGGGCAGTTGAGCCTGCGGCAGGCTGGCGGGAGCACTGAGCTGGAGGTGCTCAGGGGCCGGGCCGCGCAGCTCAACTCCTCCGGGAGTGAGGCGCCCCTTTCCTCACCTTGCCGGTAGGATCCCTAGAGCTCATGATGTGAAATTGCTCTGACAACTGCACACTTCACCCCGAATTGTGCAGAGTGATTGTGTCACAGCTGGACTGCTTCCACCTGGTAGCTGCAGTCCCCCCCACCAGGGACGGCCCTCTTGCTGTCGGCCATAGTTACTGGGTAGAAAGCCTCCACTATCATCACACCATCTCTAGGGAGTGGATGCCATATGTCATCCCACTTTCCTTAACTGGTACTTTTTACTGCTGATCCTTATGGGAGAGCTCAGTGAGGCCAGGTTGGAGGTTTGCACCTGCATCCCCCCAGACACTTTAAAAGTGGGTCTTCTCTGTCCTCCCACCATAGGGGCTTAGGACATGCTTTAGACTTGGAGTTGAAGACCCTGGAGAAGGGGGAGGAGGGAGAGAGGAGCCAGCATCCCTGGCTCCCTCCTGTCGTGGATGGGACTCATTGGACACCTTTCTCTTCCCCTGGCAATTGTCAGTTGTCGCACGCCTCCTGTGCTCCTGCTGCTGAGCTTGGTGTTGGGTGTGTGGGGCCCCTGGACAGATAGGCCCTGCCTGTGTGGGGCGCCTGTGTACCAGCATGTGAAATAGTTGGGCCGTCATTTCCCCACTGTTGCCATAAATGATCCTGAGGCTGAGTTGGAGGTCCCTGCCTTCTCTAGAAGGTTCTGGGAGCCTCGTTACAAATGAGGTTGAGCAGAGTCTGAAGGTTAATGCCA